AAAAAATTTCTGCTGGTAACATCTTCATCAAAGAAAAATACTGTTGACAGGGTTTAGTATAACTTTACTTATTACATTAACTTATTACAAAAAGATTAGGTTATGAGCTTTCGACTGGTTGATTAATTGTTGGGTTAAATCAAATTTTTACCAACAAATTTTTCTTGTGCTTCTCTGAAAGTAATATTTTCAAGAAACACGAAAACAGCAAAAATTTCTGGAGAAGCTTGATTTTTAAGTGTTAAATTGTTTGGACTGAATGCCAGGTAATATCTTACAAGCTGCGTGTTTTGACTTTTTTAAAAGTATTCAATTTAATAAAAAAATTATTAAGATGTGTCATTTTTTTAACCTGGTACTGGTGAAAAGTGCACTGGAATTAAATATTGAACTGTCTCTCTGTTGTGTGAGATTTTGTGCTTCATTCTATTAGTTTGGGAGGCTTTTTATACCTGAATTTTTTATGGTTTATAACAAGGTTTATTGGACAAAACAAAAAAAAAAAAAAAATAAAGTAGTTCAAAATATTATTTAAAGGTAAAAACACAATGTCAAGGGACAGACTTAAAGCAAAGGACTATTGAAAAGCTGCTTTGAAGCGAACTCAAACCAGTGTCTGAATTGTTAGAAATGCCCGCTGAGTTTTGCTGCTGTAGATGGTGGCTTCACTAGGAATGAAGCAATAGTAACTTCTAATTGAGGTTTATTCTCCATTTTCCCTCCTTTTCTATCATTCGCACAGCTTCTTCTCTTCTGTGAAGCTCAGTTTCTTCCTTTTCCATATCATTCTTTCTTGGTTTCTGTGTCCATAATGAGCATTTCCTCCTCACCCCCGCCACCTATTCTCTCGCTTTCTCCCCCCCCACCTTCGCTCCCCTTTCTTCCCCTCCACTCTGTGTGCTGAATTGGAGAAGCTTATCTCCTAGCAACCACAATTAAAGTACAACAAGTCAGTGGTGGTTGCAGCCACCATTGGAGCAAGCTTTCGCAAACCTTCGTATAACCAGCAGCTTTGGATAGAAAGCAGAAAAAACAGGGCTGGGAAGCAGAGCTTTATAGTTGAAGTTGAACAGGTGAGCCGCAGTTTAGAGTTGTGACTGAAACGGTACGCTGAGGACTTTAGGGAAGAAGGGCAGGGAGAGTGGAGTGGCGTTAGATTTGACAGTTATGTCTGCTGGAATCAACGGATCCAAGGTGAATGCCTCCGGAAAATATGATTGTTGTATGCTTGTTTTTCTGTATGTTTTTATGCTTGGAGTCTTGTACGTTGTTAACTGTATGCATTTCCGTTTGTTCTGTATTGTAGATCTGCATGCTAAGGAGGATTAATGCTTCTGGAATCATTAGCTAGGAGAACTGCTTATAGATTACCAATCAGTGTGATTTCATAGCAGTAAAGGAGTGCCAAGTTCCCATTAGAGCATACTGTGAAGGCATTTGCTCAAACACCTGCCTCCATAGACACACTGACTAAGAAGCGCGACGGCATGATGGAGAGGATAAAACTGTAATCTAATGTCTTTACTGGGGGCCAGCCTAAAAGATTCATTGCCTCTGAATTTTGAATTTCCCCCTAATTGAATATGAAGTTACATCTACTGCAAAACTTCCAGTTTTCAGTCACCAATTGGCTCTAAATGACTAAATAAGTGACAGATGTGTATTCTTAACAAGCCGGCTAACATATTTATAGATAGAAACATTAAGATGTTGTGTTCAGAAACTGTTGCCTTCTGCAGACACACCTTGGTCTTCTGCAGGTAGAATTTATTTAAGGGTGAAACATGATGGTTTATAGTGATTGAGTTCTTTGCTAGCTTTTTGGATTCTAAAGCAAGTTTTGATCCTAAGTTTTCGGTTTGCCCTTGGTTCACCTCTCAGTAAGATATTTCCAGAAACATCACAAGGACAGCTCCTATTGATCAAACTGATGAAATTCCTAAAGCACCTCAGCAGACCCTTTTTGATGCTGAAATACTTCAGCGAAATGCTTAAAGCTATAGCCCAGCCACCTCATGTAGGAAGCTTTTTGCAGACGCTCGTTTCCAAGTTCTTTTTCTTCATTATTTTATTTATTTATCTCATTTGGGATTGGAACAGTAGGACGGAAAAAATAACTGTCCTCAAGGTGCAGTTAGCCTTTGAAATGAACAGACTCCAACTTGCATGCATGCAAAATGTATGTTTGTTTTTTTTAAGATGATGGAAAGAATAAACTTTTTTGATGATCAGACCTATTATCTTTACAATACACTTATGCAGTGTGATATTGCAGACAAGTACACTATAACTTACATAATTCTTGAATCACTTTGGTTACTGATGATGTTTAAGATCACAAAGGCAGCTGGAAAGCATGAAGTGGCCCAAATTGGGCAAGGAAAGCATTTCTTCCCATGAAAATAAAACTTTTTTTTTTTTACAAATGCTACACAGGTTTTGAGAGTCAAAACCATCCTTGTTATCGAATGCTACAGACAGGGGTACCTGATCTAGTAACCTGTTTGATTTCAAAGATTTCCAGACTTCTAGTAATTCACTGTGTCAAATGACAGCCAAATAATTTAAAACTAAATCTTTTAATGTATATCTCCATTTCTTTCTCTCCTTACACAGCATTAGGTGCTTTAGTTTTGCCAATGTTCCAAGTTTAAAAAGAACAATCTATGTTTAAGTCCATATTAAGTACTTAGAACTTTATCCTCAGAAATGATTTAATACCCAAATAAACAATATAAAGGTGCTTCATATTATACTCAATAGGTCATCATGTACATAAATGTACCATTCCACAAAAAGAACAAAAAGCATAAAAGGAATTTTGTTTACAGCACTCTTTCAGGAAGCATTAAAAATTGTTCTAAGTTCTAATATTGTCAAGAGTATAACCCCTAAATGATTCTCAATATTTGAATCCTACTAATTCGTTTAGTCTAATAGAGAATCCTAGAATGGTACTCCTTCATCTCCTGCAGACCTATCTGTCAAATAAAGCCGACCCACCTGCCATCCTCCCTCTGAGGGAGAGTGGTAATACCTGGGGGGACAGACCTGGTGGGGTAAAAGGTTACCATATCCTCCCCCACCGGGAGCCTGAAACCATATGAAGGGGCTGTATAGGTGCTTAGAAGTCAGGTGCTGTTAAAATGTCAACTCCATGCTTGCATAAAAGGTACGCCTAAAACGTCAGAGAAACATCTTTCTGTTCAAAATGCCAGCATATGACTCATATAGAAGTGCTACCAGTTACCTCTAATGTCTAGTTTAAGGTGCTAAAGAAAGAGTTGGAAAAAAGCAACTTGGCTATTTGAGAGGTCCTCAAAGTTTTTACCAAATAATACAATTGTAATATATTATATGATAAGAACATTATATTATATTGTACTATATTAGAATAGATTAGATTAGATAAGGTCAGATTAGATCAGCAAGGTTTTCAAAATATTTCTTTGGAAAATTATTCTTTGCCTTTTGAATTTTTGAAGTTTTTACCAATCAAGGTTTTAACACTTTAGCCTTAAAAATACATTTTACCTACTAAAACTAGATTATTTATTGGACTGTTTTGTACCTGCAAAACTTTTAGGATAATGTCTTTATCAACTTTTGCAACTTCTGAGTGGATTTTCTTCCATGGCTTCTCTGCATTTAGCTCCATCTCTTTTTAGAAATCCTGCCACCAGTGTGTTTTATACTGGGAATTGTGCATTTCAAATTCAGACCAGCTTTTTTTCCCTTGTTTTCCTCGACACTAAGCATATTGCATGTACCAAAACAATTGTATTTTTGGTCTGATTTGATGCAATTATCATCTATATGTGTCTCCCAGATGGTTTGTACAAAACGACAAATGGGACTTCTGACTTCCCATTTCTTTTAACAGTGGCAAATCTGTAGGGGTGCATGAGTGGTGGTTGTCCTGTCAACAGATTCTTCCACCTCAGCAGGGGGTCCTAAAAGTGTGTCTTAAAAGATTTTTTCTTTTTCAAAGCACTACATCACATTTAATTTTTGGCGGCATTAGAATAGCAGAGACTGAGTATACCACATATTTCGCATTATGGTTATCTATCCCATGAAAGCTAAAAAAAATAAAAAATAGAATAAAAACATTAGGGTTATGAATGCCTTTGCCAGGTACTTAAGTGTTGTGATCTTTAGATAATGAAATAGTTTTACTTGAATTGAGAAATGTGCCAGCTCAAGAGCCATTTCAGAAGCACTCAGTCTTACTGGTAGAATTGGTCTATTATGTTGCAAATGATTGACAGAATAGTTTTTTCTTCTCACTGCAGGCTTCAGTTTTCATGCTGAGTCCCAAGATGCAGTTATTGGTGCACCATATTAAGGGGCAGCATAGATACATGTTTATTACAAATAAAAAGAATGCCAAACAACATAGTTTTCCTCCAAATTGTCTCCACTCTAAGGTAATTTCTCAGTAACGCATGCATGTTTTTTAGGTTATGTTAGCAGAGTTGAGGTTATGTCTGCATAATTCAATGCTGAGCCTCTCAAGAAGACCTGGACAGCAGGAGCATTTCTATTTGTGTACTTGCACTTTTGTGTATGGTTATATTTTTGGTTGGTGCTCAAAGGTTGGCTCCTTTGGTGGGAGGTATTTGAATATCCCCTGTTGAGAAGTGCCTGCAGGAACAATAAGATATATACTGATACTTTCTGATATCAGAGGACTTTACCATCAGGGAAATGAATTTTAAAAATATCCCTCACTCACGTTTCCTCTCTCTCTCTCTCTCTCTCTCTTAAGACACCCTTTTAAAACTTCAGTTTACAACCTGACTGTTGTCATTTTTCCATCAGCTAGTAACCATGTAGTCATGTTAACCCCCTAAACTGGGAAACCTTGAAACCTCTAAATAATCTGATGTTTTTTTTTGGTTTTTTTTTTTTAGAGTTTTCTGTAAGTTCCAAAATATGGAAACTGGAATGCATTAAATGCTGATTTTAAAGAATTCTCCTCTTCACTTTCTTTCCAGAGTCTGGGCTCTGCAGACCGAAAGGAGAACCAGCAGAAAAAGTAAGTCTCCTATGTTAACCTTCCTGTCCATCACTCCACTGATGCAAAAAATCCATTATAAATGAATTTGCATTTATCTTTCAGAGTTTTGTTTCACAGAGGTACTAACTGTTCTTGTGTTAGTAGGCAACTTTATCTAGCAATCAAATAATATTATTTTCTGCAACGCATACTTAGATCCTACTTTGCAACAATTCTACAGTCAATAATTTGTTTCTTCATTAAAAGAAAATCAAATGACATATGCTCTGTATTAACAAGCATTTTACACTTCCTGGTTTACTAGATTTACAAATTTATAAATGTAATCTGTGATATGTATGCTCTTATTTAAAGAATTGCACTGTTAAAAATCAGTGTAGGTATTGAGCTCAGTGCTTTCATTCTGCACTGTGCCTTTAAGCTCCTCTTTTAAAACTTTGACCTTATTCCTTTGTGCACAACTCTTGTCAGATTTCTGTGTTTGTTTGTTTGAAACACAAACTGGGATTATAAGGCTGTAGCATAATCCACTCTACAACAATAATACCTCTCAGGTGTTCTAGTGTAACAATGTTCTTCTCTTTAGAGTGTGAACTATAACTATACAAACCATATAAAAAAATAAGGAAATGCCAGAACTGGTAATAAAACTTGATAAAAGGTAATAATTTATCAAAAATGAACCTTTACATATATTTTCAATGTAAAATTAATTGAGCTAATGAACTAAATTTCCTCAAAGAATATTTCCCTTCAGTTTAATTTTAAGAATCTAGTATAATACGTTCATTTTTCCTGAAAAGTATGTTTATTTTAAGAGATTAAAAATGATTCCTGAAATTATGACCTGTTAAAAAGCATGATTATTTCCTAAAAGAGGTCCCAGCGACGCTTCAGATTTTGTGCATGGTTCAGGAGTGACCTAATAAAAAACCAATGCAACATTTGTAGCCCATGTCCTGTTATGTCTATGTGGTAGATTTAAAGCTCTAACTTCAGCGCCAGTCTATATCTTCTGAATCTCCACCAAATTCTTGAAATGACATTGCTTCACCAGTCTAACTAGGCTGCCTGTGACCCCTTGTCTGTCACACTTTTTCTGTCTAATCAACTCTCCATAAATGTGTTTGAATAGAGAGCTCTCATAGAACCCTCAATCTAGGTCAATCTGGAACATTTCCTTTTTTTAAAATAATCCCTTTTTGTTGTTGACTTATTAATAGGTTCTCAGAAACTTGAATTCAGATTTGTAATTGCTGCAAAATTAAAATATTCAAATTAAATGTTACACTCAGTTTTTCATAATTCTTTTTTAATGTACACATTGATTTTTATGAAATATTGAAATAGTTTTTGAGTCACAGTCTACTTTCATAAAATGCCTAATTCAGCCTTTATTTGGATTTTCTTCTTTTGTAAAATGTAGCCAGAAAAGCTATAGGTGAAAAAGTTTAAGCCTTTTAAGGGCACATAGGTAATGCATGTTTCGGTTTCTGTGTTTGTTATATTTAATTTAGAGCTCACATAAAAGGCTGGTTGCCATCAAACTCAATCTATGTACAGAGTTGATGTATTGAGTAAAAAAATGTTCTCAAACAGAAAGTCCCAGCTGATATATCTGGGTTTTGGTGTATGTCCAGTGTGCATGGTTTGTTAATATGTTGTTCAGTATGAAGAAGCAACATAGACGTTCATTTGTTTTCTTTTAAATATGTTTTTTGTCATGTGGGCATCATCCGCTGGCACATTCGGCGCTAAGTGTGCCGGAGTCAGAGTCATCTGTTGCCAGGAGACAAGCATCTATGTTAAGGAGTATGACAAGTAACAGGACTGTGCCTGGGAATAAATGACACTCTACTACATACTGATTTAAAACGCCACAATCATGTGAGTGAGTGGACATAAACACGGCAGTAAATATAGTAAGTAATATGTGGGCACATATTCACATGTGTTTACTTACTGTTACTGTTAAGCATTGGCAGAAGGGATAACTCACAATTATGGCATGGGATTTTTCAACATGTCAAAACAAATCTGTGGCTTGGCTGGAAATCCTGTTATATATGTCAAAGCATCAGATGTGCAGAACAGCAATGCTGGCACATTATTTACTTCTTCGTATGACATCAATACGGAGGGCAGATATGGTCATGGCAACGGTCTGACAGAGAATTACGTATTTGCTCAAAATGTGAAATATAAATAGAGCATAATCTGCTTTCCATTGTCTATGACAGCTGATTAGAAATCTTAAAACACTTTTAAAACATAAATAGAGTCTTTGGAACCATGCATTTGGCTAATGGAGTTTCATAAAGCTTAGAGATATGGATACAAAACAGTTTAGGTCAGAGGTCTTCAACAGGGGGTCCGCAACCCCTAGGGGGTCCACAGTGGTACTGCATGGGGGTTACAAAAGTTTTGTAGATTAGACTTTTTTTATATTCCCCCCTGCAATTTTTTTCCACTAATTGAAATGTCTTTAAATACGCCTGAACTCAGCACACTGTAGTAAACAGATAAATGGAGGCAGAGATGTCTTTCAGTCATCAATGCACACCAGAGTTGTCAAGTAACGAAGTACAAATACTTCGTTACTGTACTTAACTACACTTTAGGTATCTATACTTTACTCCATTACTCATTTCTCCTCCTATCTCTGACTTATACTCATTACATTTTCACACAAGTATCTGTACTTTCTATTCCTTAAACTTGGCTTTGGTTTTATGTTTATAAATATTTATTTCACGTCATGTGCGCCATCCAATGCAGATCATTGGCTCCATCCACATCTAGTGAAAACTAGTGTAATTGGATGAGTCATGAGCACGCATTGGTTAGCTATTCGTCAAACTTGTGCTGACGCCAAAAGAAATCATCAGAAGCAAGCAGGTGTTCTTCAAATTGCACACATGAATTGTCTATGCCAGGGATCACCAACATGGTGCCCGCGGGCACCAAGGGGCCCTCAAGGACCACAAGGGGTGCCCTTAGAGTCTTCTGAAAATAGAACAACTCAACAGTGAGATACGTTTGAAATTTCACTGTATTACAGTATGTTGCTCTTCTTTTTTTAATTGGGTTATAGAACATTTCATCATTTAATCATATATGGCATTTAAGCATTTATAGAGATTTCAAAAATGAAAATGTCTAAAAGAAAATTATAAATTTAAAGAAACGATAATGATATGTATATAATATATGAAGTTTAGGTGAACATTGACCCTTGCCATTCATAGGTCAGTATTGGTAGCCCTTCCTGTGACTCAGTGCCCCTGAATTAGCCCTCAGCTGTAAAAAGGTTGGTGACCGCTGGTCTATGCCATGCTACAATGTTAGATTCAGAAAAAGATGTTGAAATGTCTGAAAGGTCGGGCACGGGCAAGAGCGTATTGGGAGATGGAGACCAATAAGACCTCCCTCATCCTTGGCCCTATCTTAAAGAATTTTTCTAAATAGTAATATAGTGGCATCTGGCTGATTTTTTGAAAGGTTACTTTATACTTTTATACTTTAAGTAGTTTTTGGAGCACATACTTTTTCACTTTTACTTGAGTTAAGAGGTCAAGTTTATACTTTTAACAGAATGCTTTTAAACTGCAGTATCAGTACTTCTACTTAAGTAACAAATGTGTGTACTTTCGACATCACTGCTGCACAAACTCAGCGACACACAGGAGCTCTTTCAAGCTGGGCACCGTTTCATTCACAACATCCTGTCCCATCAATGAGGAATCAGAATCAGAAAAACTTTAATAATCCCAGAAGAAATGACTTTCGTTACATGACACCATATGTAATAGAGGGACTATAGGACCAGTTTGATATAATACTATTTCATACAGTATATATATAATTAGGGGTTCCTGCTCCATCTTGCCATCAGTTTGGGGGTCCTTGGCCAGGAAAATGTTGAAGACCCCTGGTTTAGGGTATCACAGTCCTCTAATGGAGTCGGCAGTGCAGGCTTTCTACTGTCTTTGGGAAGAAAATGGTTCATCATATAAATCAGAAACTGCTCTTTCTATTTTTTTTTTCTCCTGTAAGGTTTTAGTAATGATAATTGGCAACAACAGAACCCCATTGTTTTTAGTGTTTAAGCCAAAGAAATGACAAATGGTCATTGTTTTGAATTTCCTTTTCAACCATACATCTATATCTTTAACTTAAATTGAGAAAAAGTTACAATGTCCTCAAAAAAAAAAAAAAAAAGTTTGCAACCATGTTTCTGTGCGTTAAACCCTTACAAGTGAGACCATTTCATTCACCTTAGATTCATTCACTCATTGTGTGTCTGCAACTGGACAAAAATCCCAAAGTGACATTTTAGTTAAATTAGTTGGAACAACTGGAACAATATCAGACAATCTCTGTGGTTAAGTCTTCAATTTAGACTTAAAATTCAGAAAAAAGGAATCAGATTAATTTAAGTAATGAAATTCTAGAACCACAGCTGTTTGTAAATCTCTTAAAACTCATTTTTGTGGTCATCCTACATTTATTTTCAACAGATACATTTTCGGACTATGTTGCTTTTCTTTTTGTAGTTGCAGCTAATGTGAAAGTCCCAGTTTCGCCATTAAACTTCTCTTTCTGTAAAGACTCTGTTACTCAGAACAGTTTTATATTACCGTCATGTTTCATGACTGAATCATTTTTCCCTCCTAGCAGTAGCCACTTGTTGCTGTGGTTACTAGTGACACACAAACTAAAAGGCCTCCCACAATTAATCCATGCTTCAATGTTGATGACATCACTGATTTTCTTCTATTTTATTTAGATCATTGCCAAGACAATATTTGACTGTAGTCCACCGCAATGATATATTTTGGCTCTAAATTGCTGATTTTATTAAACTGCTTTTCTTTTGTATTATTTTTTTCTAGGTTTTCAACATTAATTAGAAACAAGCTGAACAAAAACTCAGCATCTAAGTAGACAAAGTGCAAAGATACACACTCTAAAAAGAGAATGCACCTCCAACTTCAATTGTTTCAAATGGTTGCAAG